GTACCCCACTGCTTACCATCCTCCACTGAGAAAATTGCCCATTTATACTCACTCTCTGTTTTCTATTAATTAGCCAGTTTTTGATCCACAAAAAGACTTGTTGTTTTATCCCATGATTTTAGAGCTTGCTTAGGAACCTTTGATGTGGAACTTTATCAAAAGCTTTCTGGAAGTCAAGGTAAACAATATCTATTGGGTCCCCCTTGTCCACATGTTTGTTCACCCCCTAAAAGAACACTAACAGGTTAGTGAGACAAGATCTTCCCTTACAGAACCCATGCTGCGTCTGCTGCCTCAATAGGTTTTGTTCATCTATGTGCCTAATTCTTTCCTTAATAATGGTTTCCACCAATTTACCCGGTATCGACGTCAGACTGACTAGCCTGTAATTTCCCGGATCTCCTCTGGAACCCTTTTTAAAGATGGGAGTGACATTAGCTACCTTCCAGTCCTCAGGAATGGAGGCAGATTTTAAGGAATGATTACATATTTTTGTCAGGAGATCCACAAGTTCACATTTGAGTTCCCCACCTAGATGAGGGGATGGAGATATGACATCTGCTCCTTTTTCATCTGCGAAACACTGTTCACTGTAGAGGAATAAGTTTGAACACAGAGCACTCAGACTAAAGCATCTTTGCTGGTGGCAGAAACTGCCATCAATTCCCAGCAGATTTATGGCCACCCGGTCGGGTTTTCAAGGCAAGAGACAAACAGAGGTGCTTTGCCATTGCCTGCTGTGACCCTGGACTTCCTCAGTGGTGTCCCATCCAAGTAGTAACCAGGACTAACCCTGCTTAGCTTGTCTGATCTGATGATCTCAGGGCACCCTGGGCCATCCAGGTCCGGCAATGCACCTTTCGATGCACTCAACATTTGCACATTGGCTGGTCCTATTTCTACAGAGTAGGTTATCCCTACACCACAGTACTATGCGTGGGCATGACAGGATCCTTCCTTCCGTTAACAGCATGGCTCTTCTCTCCAGTTAATGGGTATAGTGGCAATTGGAATTTTTTTTATTCTTATAAACAGACAATCAACAAACAAACAAACAAATTACATAAACATTGGAGGGATCATTTACATCGTTATTTTAACTAATTTGTTACTGCAGGCTGCAGTGGCTCAAGTGGTTAAGACGCTGAACTGCAGACCGGAAGGTCGGTAGTTCGGCAGTTCGAGACCTGAGTGTTGCATGATGGAGTGAGCTCCCATCTCTGGTCCCAGCTCCTGCCAACCTAGCAGTTTGAAAGCAAGAAATTGCAAGTAGATAAATAGGTACCGCTTAGGTGGGAAGGTAACAGTGTTCCGTGTGTCTCGGCGTCTAGTCGTGCCGGCCACATGACCACGGAAACGTCTTCGGACAGCGCTGGCTCTTCGGCTTGGAAACGGAGATGAGCACCGCATCCCTAGAGTCGGATTCGACTGGCTTTCGAGCAAAGGGAAACCTTTACCTTTACCTTACATTGTCTCCTTTATAAGTTTATATTTTCCACCTTATATTTTTATATGAATATTTTGCATTATTGTTAAATGGTGTAGTGGCATTTGCATGGCGCTTTCAGCATCCAGAGTGCTTCAAATATATCATCCTGTTGTAATCCTTACAACGGCTCTGTTAGGTAGACCGGTTTTATTATCACCCCATTGCAGATGGGCAGGGGAGGGCTAAAAAAGAGCACCCACTTTAGTGAATTGGTGGCAGAGGTGAATTTGTGAGTTTGCAGCCGTTTCATGAGTTTCGTGAATTTGTGGCAGAGGTGAGACTTGAACTGGGGACTTCCCAGACTGCAGAGCATGAGTCAATATGCTACCTCAGATCTGACTCGCTCTCTTGCACCTTGCCTCCAGCTTGCACATTTTGCAGAGCTCCCTTTACAGCGCTCCCCTGCACAGCCACCAACAGCTGCCTCATTGTAATGCTGGCATCAACAGTCCTGCAATCCAAATTTATGATACGAAGCCCGTCCCGAAGTGCCATCGCTCTTAAATTCCTGCCCGTCCATCTGCCAATTGTCAGAATACATCTCCCCCTTCCTGTCTCCTTCCCAGATGGAGAATGTACCCCCAATCTATCCCCCCCCTCCACTACCACCCACCCCCGGGATCCGAGGTTTGTTTTCTCAGGAGGTTCATGTTATGGAAGTCTCAGCGCAGGATGCCTATGCCAGGAGCATGTTAATGAAGAGGAATTTCTCTCCGCTTCTGGCCTTTGCTTGGCTTTGCATTCCAGGGAAGGGAGGGAGGGGCGGAGGCTTTGGGGAGGAGAGATAGGAGGAGGGACAGACTCAAATGTCCAGCTCAGACTTCCACAATTTTCAGAGCTGGCAAAGCAACTGA